GAGAGAGAGAGAGAGAGAGAGAGAGAGAGAGAGAGAGAGATGCACACACACACACACACAAAGATACTCATATACACAAACATGAAAACTAGAACATTCATTTACAACGCAATGTCATCATAATATGCTCTCAGAGACATTTCAGTCATTTTTCATAGGAAGCCAACAACACATATTCCAACTGGCAAATATCTTTTATGCGTGACTTACGAGTTTCCCATTCGTGTCATCTCTCCCTGTGACATGTGACAGACGATTGCATAGTTCATGCCTTATCTCCCTATAGCCATCACGATTGTTGCTGTTGGGAACCTGTCACGTTTGTGCCTACGTCTAAATTAGTCTCTCCACCCAAACCATAGACGGAATAATAATGCCTTAGACCGTGCACTGCCATGATTTATTGCTCTCTCTAAAACTTCGCTCCAAAACGTGCACGCCATAGGCGCTCAAAAGAAGGGGGAAAACACCATTCCCTTACCTTTCATTTGGCTCCAAAGTGAGTCGAATGTTTAGCTGCAGAGTAAACGAGAACTACGTCACAATGTATGGTTTAGGATATCCTAATACTAATACAAGTCTATGATCCGCTCATCTGTCTAAAGTCTCTTCCATGCGCACAAAGCGTTGCTATATACTTAAACCCAGTCATCGATGATATACGTCACGACGTAGTCAATACGTACACTTTCTGAAGCGCTCACAAGTAATCCTCCCTTTCCTGGTAAAAAAATGTTCAACTCTTAATTTGCCACAAATACATTATTTCGACGACTTACTGCTTGAATTCATACTAATAGAAATATGTGTAAAAGTAAAGGAGAAGGGGACAGGAGAAAAACCGATTGCGTATATTGTATTTCTAAAAATGAAAAGCAAACAGTGCTTCAAATTCTAAGTTGTAATACTGCAAATTAGCAGTGGTACCTCCACACGTTGAGTTCTACTTCAATTTCTGTTTGCCTGTATACTTCGCCAAAATCGCAGTCTTTTCAAACAGACAGTGAACAGACACATTAAAAATATACAAGAAAATGAATTTGGTTTTTCTCATACCTCAGTATGACATCGCAGACCTCCAATGTTTTTTTCAGGGATAATAATGTAAGATGTTCTTCAAGCTTTTTGGATTTTGCATACAAATAAGTCCCCGGATTGTTTATATGAAATATTACATCAACCCAATTTAGAACTTTTCGAAGGCGGGCTGCCTTGACCCCCTCCTATCAAGGTCAGCCCGGACTTGATGGAATAGATGTCGCTACTTAAAGAGAATCGAACTCACATCTTAAAGAGACGAACCATTCCACCATAATGGCCACAAATGCCTTCAGCTTTGCGGTTTTGAAAACTCGTCATTGTAAGAAACGTCATGACGAGAGAAGAAAATTTTAATGATGAAATCTTCCGTTTTCCTTTGTTCCACAGCAGGTGTGTAACCTTTTCTTCCGAACCAATCAGTACAGAGCCATGCCAGTTTTACGTTTGCTAAGCCTCCTCCTCACGCTAGAATGCTGCACACACGGAGCTACTGCCGATGTCATCAACGTGACGTCAGCATTTGGGACCGTCGGAGGGATTCTGAAAGACGTCGTAATGCCTGACTATTCCCGATATCAAGCTACATTATTTTTAGGCAAGTACAAATCAAGTATCTGTGGGAGAAATGAAAAAAAGGAATTTAAAACTTGGCAGTTCATAATTACATATTTATTTTCGTTGTTCCAACGCTGAGCCAGGATACAGATTAGAGGTTAGGCCAAGTTTGTAGTGGGTCAGTGCAGTTTTACATTTCCTGTCCATTAGAGTGGAGGTTAACTTCAGATCTGCTTTTTGAGACTAATACACCGCGGTACATCTTTTCTTTTCCTCCAGTCATCTTTAAAATTGGCTGATATTTAAGATTTTGAGTGATTGTTGTGGATAGAATTTAAAAGAAATTACAAAGTAATACAAGATGCACTAATATACCACAAATACGATTTTAGATAATGGCAACATGTCAAATTGAGCACATTGGGACTAGCCCAAAACGACCATACGTAGTCGTAGGAAAAAAGTGGTCATTTTAGACAAGTGGTTCTCTTAGGCAGTCATTATAGTATAGAAAATATATTAAGACCTGAGCGCACGGGGGATGGGGGGGGGGGTGATCGATTGTACAGGCACAAAGTTTATTCTCTCTTTTTACTTTTGTTAATATAAAACGCTGTTCATGTCAAGACACAACGTTGGTCTTTTTGAACACAGAATACATGTACTTGGTTGTTTCCCAGAAATGAAGTGACATGTTTTAAGTTGGTAACGAATTCATATTCTGGAATCCCCCCTCCCC